TCAAACCCGGACGGGACGCAGAAAATTACTACGTCTTAAAAGAATTTAATATAGGTACTCAATGTTCATTTAAATATAAAATGAATTGAATATTTTTAATAAAATTGAAGTGAAAAGCGAACCTACAGTCCACCTGCCGACCTAGAATGGGCAGGAGACAATATTATCCCCGGGAAAGGAGAAAATGTTTATTCCCTCGCTTAGTTTTATCCACCCTTCGAGCATGGGCACACCGGTGGATATAATATCCACAGTAGATAAAATGGGAGATAAACTTAGACTAAGATAGATTTTTTGTATGAATTTTATATTTAGCCCACATCTAAAGAACTAGGATAAAATTGTCCCTTTCAAATATCAAAAAGGCATAATTGTTTATCTTTCATTTGGCTCCATGCTACGGACGGGGGATGTATGTTTACTCGTTATGACAAACGGGAATATACTTCTCCCCGTTGCCGTGCTTAGGCATAAGGACAAAACAATTTTATCCCTTGTCAGTGGATTTAATCGGTGGATAAAATTTTTGTCCCCAGCCCATGATAGCCCTGCTGATGAATAAATGGCTCCGGCGGTATGGTACGAGTATGTATGGTCCTATGATATTATTGCTGGTAGCTTAATGCTGCTGTGTTTAGTATGGTGAGTTCAGGGAACCGGAGACCCTTTTTACTGGTGACAAGTCATTTTGATTCATAGTAACTGTATATGGATCACAGCATCCACTTATCATCAATAATATAATGAGATATTAAAAACATATACATTTCAACGTGTAATAAAAATATTAAGTATGAAACTTACAATTTTTTTGAATATCTTCCATCTTGGGCTGGCCGAGGTGACGCTAAGGGCTGCCACGCATGCCATAACAAAGAAGAGGATTTTCGCGAAGTTCATTGTAGAGGTTGGGTCGTAAAAGTGTTTTGATGTACAAGAAATAAGAAGGTCTAGTATGGAATGATGAATATTCGAGCACCGAGCTGAATTTATACAATAAAATTGACCAAGTTATTTATGGAGTTAATAAACAATATCTCAAACCAAATTGAACCTTATGTTGAAACTAAATACTGAACAGTTTGTGTTGAAGTAATTCAAACGTGTTATATGTAGTATGTTACGATAAGACGCAGCACTGACGTAGCGTGAACTTTGCGCGGGAAGATCCGTTGTACGGAACACTTAGTGAATCCCCGATTTTATTTTGTGCCTATGTATCGACTACCGATACCACAAATAATGTAATAAAGTATTCATGATTTTTATAATAATATATTAAATTATTACTGAAGTTTGTAGTACATATTTATTTTCATATTTATTTATCCCCTAAGCGTTTACACCATAAACATAATAGTAAGTAATCAAATATAAAACTAGAAAGATTACATGTAGTCATTAGTTTAAAATAGAGTAAAAACTAAAATATATAATAAAATAAAATAAATTATTTCTTTGAGTTATGAGTATTCAAGAAATTGAAATTAGTAAATAATTTAGAAAAAAGGTGGTGAAACACAGAATTAATTTAAAAGTTTAAAATTTTTAAATAGTACCTCTCGTACTTTTTAAAATGTTTAAAAATAAAAATTGATACAGAATACTCGATAAAGCTAAGTCTTAGCGGTCAGCCACCGCAGAGTCTAATCACCTGATGTTGCCTCGTATAGAGGCGAAACACGTGCCGTATTGTCGTCAGTGGTGTGTGTTTTCTAGTGTAGTGGTGTTGGGAGTAGTGGTGCTGGGATTAGTGGTGACGGTGATAGTGCACGTAATTGAGGGGAGACGGAAGGTGCTCTTCAAACTAGGTAAGACACATCCTTTTATTTTATCGAGCGGATGTACGCGAGGTAACTTTTTAAAAACATAATAGATTGCCGCAAAGTAACGCCTGCATCTATTAATTACAAGATTAATGTAGTTTTTTTTGACATATTATCGGGCCTTTATTAAATTTGTGTATTTTTTTGAAAATTTCAAAGCCTACTGCTGAACATTTGTAGAACTCACGAATAGATAGCCTCATAGGGAGATATTTGCTATAATTTCTTCGCTTGACAGGTGGGTTGGCAACTTCAGTTTGTAATTACTTTGATTTGTTATCAGGAAGATGCTGCTGAACATGTTCTTTTGGTCGGTCATCTCTACACACACACGGGGACACGAGAAAAAGTTAGATTAAATATTTAGTACACGTGGTAGAGCCAAGCCACAAGCTGCTGCAATATCTATTAGGTATATTAGGTTGCAGCACAAATGGGTCAGCTTGAATGGGGCAGGACCTCGTTCTCAAAGAAAATTTTATTAAAAACACATTAATTTGACCAATTTTGATTATATTCTCTAAAGAAATGTTAACGTGGTGGCTCATGGGTTAAGCGCTCGCTGTAAATTTCACAGTACGCGAGCCAACCCGGGTTCAACAAGCCCCGCCGGCACCAATAAAATTGTTAAATGCAATTTTAAATGCTGATTTACCACGTGCTCGGCGGTGAAGGAAAACATCGCGAGTAAACCTTCCATCCTGAGAATCAAGAAAAAAAATTCGAAGACGTGAAGTCCGCCAACACGCATTGGACCAGCTCGGCGGATATTTTCCTTGTCCAAAAACACTCTCAGAAATGAGAGACCTGTGCCCAGGAGTCGGACCTATATAGGGGTTGCTTTTTTTACTTTTGTTGTCGAAATGTCTTTTTTCGTTGACGACATTTATATATATATATATATATATATATATATATATATATATATATATATATATATATATATATATATATATATATAATGTAATATTTGTTGTGGCCTTGTTAATCATATACCAATTAACGCTTATATTATAAAAGGAAGCCCCGTGTCTCTGAGTTTTATGAATATTTTTTTCTAGACTTGAAATTTGCCAATAAAACTTATTACGTGGTAGAGCCATACTGCAGCTATATTACTGGTATAGTTGTAGCACGAATGGGTCGGCTCGACCGGGGATGGACCACACTCTTACAGAATGTCAGCGTAAAAAGCAGCTTAATTCTGCTGTGATTCGAATGGTGAGTGTAGAGAACAGGAGACCCTTTTTACTGGAAATAAGACGTTCCATCTTAGTTGTCACGGGTGACAATGCATCTGCATTTTGATTCGTCATTGATGATACATGTAGATGTCTATGGGCCACAGCAACCACTTACCATCAGGTGGACTGTGTGTTCGTTTGTCACCCTATCCTGTAAAAAAAATATTTTAAAGTAATGCTTATGTATTGCCTTTTCGTGGCAGCATAAGAGAATTATTCATAACCCGATTTCTTCGCATGGGTATCGTAAGACATACTTATCGCAGTATGTGTAATACTTAAAAATCTAATGACTTCCGATAGATAGCGGAATGACCGCGACGCAATCGCAATCGCGACGGCGAATACGTCAGAGCTAAATATGTGTCGTTCATTTATTTATTGTGATCCAATCATTCAATATTGACTCGTCTTACGAACCGGATAATTCGGGCGGATCATTCAAATAGATCATTTCGAGTTTCGGTAGCGCTTTTGCACATTATAAGAAAATGTCTTATAAGAAATTCAGTCGCTTTGCTTGTTATATCAGATTATACATATTACAAGATATTTTTTCTTATGTTGCATCAGAGACGCGCATTCTAGTCATTTTGTCGGCTGCACGTTCGATGTCGCGCCTACACAAGACGTATTGCTTAGGCACGACGTCTACTTAATTTGTACGAGTACCTAAACTAGTTTGCGCGTGCACATTCGGCGCGGCTGTGTAAGCAAAACCACGAGCAGTGTCCATGTTTTCATTTAAATTAAACTTTTATTTAAATTTAAGTATAAAACATGAGTACCAAAGTGAAAATTGAACATTTGATAGCGCTTGTAGAAAAAAGACCGGTAATTTGGGACAAAACTTGTGTGGAGTATAAATCTAGAAATTTGAGGACCGCCGCCTAGGATCCATATTAATAGAAATTTTCAAAGATTTGCCAATGGTAGAAAAAAATTAAAAAGGTAACTGTATCAAATTTTATACAATGTTAAATTATTTGGTCGTCATTACTCAATTTATATACAAGAGTCTGAGTCTGATGAATGACACCTACAACTACGGCGTTTTCTTCTGTGGTACCTACATGTATGTAATCACTGTTAAATGCTGTACCCGTGTATCCTCTGTGAATTATGGTTACAGACCGATGATCAGACGTCTTGCATGAATATGTACGATAAACCAGACGAGATATTTTTCTTGTATAGTGTCCGTGTCTTATAATGTGTAAAAGGCCGTACTCTGTGAATTGTGAAACCTGTTCGATAATATATTAACGGTCGTCGGACATTACTATACTCTTTGGCCGTAAGTCCTTTCAATCGTTTGATCCGGAACATTTGAACAATGTAATTGCAATCATATTTTATACTTTGGTGCGATCCGGGTCACATATAAAGTACAGAAAAGTTGATGATATTGCCAGAAGTTTCTGAAGCGGCTACCGCAATGAAAAGGAACGTTTCGAATCTAGTTTCAAAATTAAATAACAAGGTGCAGTTTTGGCTATTTATTATTTACACTGTTATTTCAATAAATATGCAATGACAAAAGGTTAAGCGAGGGAGATAAAAAATATATATAAAAATTGTGTTGCTGAGTAATCGATGACTATAGAAAAACTATAGAAAGTAAATAAATAATACGATAAATGAAATAAAATGGAGAAATTTTGCCGAGAGTTTACAGGTACTCAATGATAAGAAATTACTGAAACATAACATCCTTTTTTTTATTTAAGATAATTTTATGCACATTTTGCCATTTCTTTTTTAAAATTTAAATTTTTGTCATTATAAGAAAGTCAAAAGTAGACGGAGTAAAAGGTAAGTATATTTATATTAAGTAAGTATAATTATTTAATTATACGAGTATAAATCTTGTTTTGTAACTAGTAAAAAAATATTTAAAAAATAATCTAACAAATTGAAAATTCAATTTTTAACATTCGCAATCTGACTGCTCATGCTCGTCTTCCTCACTGGCATACTCAATATCTGACTCATCATCTGAAACATAAATTATTATCATTAAAATTCACAATTTTTTTGTCACTGAACGAATTATGCAGTACTTGAATATTTTACCTTGAGCTCCAGATTCTTCGTTTTCATTTTGTTGTATAACATCGTTGACTGTTAAAGGTACTTGAGGGCCCTCAAACCATTTAAATTCATACATTGATGCCTGCTCTACCCAGCCGCAATTTGTAGGCTCCAGATCCATTGGAACGCGGAGGTGTGCATTTCTCCATACATTTGCAATATATCTCGCCCTTTTAAATTGCTGACGTAGTTCTGATTGGCAAGTAGGCAAACTTGAATCATCGAAATTTTTCACAATTTTTTTTATTAAATGGTTCGTTTACATCGCTTATTTCGTCTCGAGTTTGCTCTTTATGTCGTAGATGGTTTCGAGGGTTTCAATACTCTCGGCAAAATTTCTCCATTTTATTTCATTTTTCGTATTATTTATTTACTTTCTATAATTTTTTTGAGTACGAATTATTTTTTAAAGTCCGTCTTCTAAGTCAGCGATTACTCGACAACACAATTTTATATATTTTTTTATCTCCTTCGCTTAACCTTTTGTCATTGTATATTTATTGAAATAACAGTGTAAATAATAAAAACAATAAATAGACAAAACTGTACCTTGTTATTTAATTTTGAAACTAGATTCGAAACGTTCCTTTCCATTGCGATAGCCGCTTCAGCAACTTCTGACTGTATCATCAATTTTTTTGTACTTAGCCATTATTAAGACTTCTGACAATTTATATACAGGCTCGATAAGCAACAAATAATATAAAAATTAGTCAGAACTGCACCTTGTGGTTTAAATTTAAACAATTTCTTTACAAATTTGCCGACTTCTGACAGTCTTTAAGCCCCGACCTAGACTTCTGACAACAATTTTCCTAGATTCCTACATTTAAAAGCTATAACTCTACCAAATTTCAGAACTGAACCTAATTATTTTTTTGTTATTGAAAATTTACGACTTTGACCACCCACCCACGCCTTCCGCCCCGGGAGACAGTTCTGACGGGCCTCGCTCTGTACTTATAAGCTTTATATATAATTCGTTACTACACCTTATCAGTTCACGTTTTTGTAGCCAGCTCTTAGACTAAAAGTGGAGCCCTCAATATAGGATAACAGCCTAGTATGGGAGTAACATAAAAAGAAAAAAAAATTACATAATACGTAATTCACAATAAATTTTACTTATAAAATTCAATAGCAATTTAAGGAATGATAAAAATTCTCTCTCTCTCTCTCTCTTTTTACTATTTAAAAATAGAAAGAGACAGGAGAGTTAACTAATACTTAATTGTTGTTACATTGTTGTTGGTTCCTGCAGGTTTCAGAGGGATGCAATATTCATATACTATTTGACGCTTATATTATAAAAAGGAACTCCGCGTCTTTCTGAGTTTTATGTATATATTTATCGAGATTTGAACTTTGTACCATGGGTGTCGTAAAAGGGCTTTATAGGAAATGCTCAAAAATCTAATGACTTACCATAGATGGCAGTACCATCACCTGAATTAATATGTACGATAAACCAGACGAGACATTTTTCTTGTATAGTGTCCGTGTCTTATAATGTGTAAAAGGCCGTACTCTGTGATTTGTGAAACCCGCTCGATAATATATAATCGGTCGTCGGACATTACGAGTACTATACTCTTTTATCGTAGGTCCTTTCAATCGTTTGATCCTGAACATTAAAAAATATAGTGCAATCATATATACTATACGTGAAACAAATCAGGAGATGGGCAGCAGCGTATTCCTGACAACGACTAAAAATAAAGTGCGTTTGTAACGGTAATAAAGACTGTGTTTGCATTTTCTTCACCGTATTCATAACCAGCTATTATTATTTCACCGGTGGACATTTGACACTTTCTGTTTAATTTTTGCATTAATTTAGGATCAAAGTTAAAAATTTAGAATTCACTATCTAATCACAACATAGCTAACTTTTGAACACGAAAGTAAGATTTAGGTTATAATAATTTCATGCCGTGATTAAATAATATTTAAATAATAATATAAAGTAAAAAAAACTTATATTTTAAAAAAAATATTTATTTGCAGTATTTAAATCACTATAGATAGCTTAACCTATAATAAATAAGATTATCACTATAGACTAGTATTATTTTAATAATATTGATGATAATAACTATCCTTTATAAACAGAGGTGGCTTGCCCAACCACTGCAACAGCTGGTCCGGCCTTAATTATTCCATCACGAACGTTTCTTCCAACTTTCTCCTGAAATTAATAAAAACACTAAATTAAACAAAACCAATTATTTAAAAAATATTTTTTAATAAAAATTTATGAAAACACAACTACATAGCAGCTTGCTGCTTGGTAGCAGAAATAGTTAAGATAACAGAGTGGTATTACAAACCCGGACGGGACGCAGAAAGTTACAACGTCTTATAATAATTTAATATATGTACTCGACAAATTGAATATTTTTTAATAAAATTTAAGTGAAAAGCGAACCTATAGTCCACCTGATAAAAAAGTGGCTCGGGCGGTATGGTATGTGTGGTCTTGTGTTATAATTGCTGGTAGCTTAATGCTGCTGCTGTGTTTAGTATGGTGAGTTCAGAGAACCGGAGACCCTTTGTACTGGTGAGGAGTCATTTTGATTCATAGTGTCTATGGATCACAGCATTCACTTATCATCAGGATTATATGCCAGTTTGTTATTTTGATTACATACAATAAAATAATGAGATTTATTATTTTGATTACATAAATAAACGTGCAATAAAAATATTAAGAAACTTACAATTTTTTTGAATATCTTCCATCTCGGGCTGGCTGAGGTGACACTAAGGGCTGCCAAGCATGCCATTATGAAGAAGAGGATTTTCGCGAAGTTCATTGTTTCGAGGTTGGCTCGTAAAATAGATTAGATGTATAAGAAATACGAAGGACTTGTATGGAATGATGAATATGCGAGCACGGAGCTGAATTTATACAATAAAAGTTACCAAGTATTTTATGGAGTTGATAAACAATATCTCAAGCTAAATTGAACCTTATATTGTAAGTGCATACTGAACGCTTTATGTTGAAGTAATTCAAACGTGTTAAAACGTTTACTATAAGACGCAGCATTGACGTAGCGTGAACTTTGCGAGGGAAGATCCGTTGTACGGAACACTTAGTGAATCCCCGATTTTATAGTGTGCCTATTTACGGATACCACAAATAATGTAATAAAGTATTCATTCATGTTTTTTTAATAATATATTAAATTATGAACGAAGTTTATAATAGTACACATTTATGTTCATACTTATTTATCCCTTATGCATTTACAATATAAATCTAATAGTAGTAATCAAATATAAAACTAGAAAGATTACAATATAATAATTAATTTAAAATAGAGTAAAAACTAAAATACAAATTAGATATAAAACATTGTAAAATAAATTATTTCTTTGATTCAAAATTATGAGTAATAATAATAATTTAGAAAAAAAGGTGGTGAAACACAGAATTAATTTAAAAGTTTAATGTCGTTTTCTTAGAAATTTGATAAAAAAATTTGTTATTGTAGGGTTCAAACCTTTGACATATTATGGGGCGTTTATTAAATTTGTGTATTTCTTTACATTTTGAACACAAATTATTATCGTCGTCATCAACAACATTTGAAACTTTCAAAGCCTACTACTGCTGAACATTTGTAGGCCTTCGGAATAGATAGCCTCATAGGGAGATATTTGTAATAATTTCTTCGCTTGACAGGCAGGTTGCCAACTCCATTTTTTAATGATTTTGATGTGTTATCAGGAAGATGCTGCTGAACATGTCCTGTGTCGTTTTGGTCAGTCACCTTTATGACACACACACGGAGGACATGGGAAAAATTTAGATTAAATATTTATTACACGTGGTAGAGTCAAGCTACAAGCTGCTGCAATATCTATTATGGTTGCAACACAAATGGGTTAGCTTGAGAGGGGCAGGACCTCGTTTTCAAAGAAAATATTATTGAAACACATTAATTTGACAAATTTTAAATATAATCTCTAAAGAAATGTTGACGTGGTAGCTCAGGGGTTAAGCGCTCGCTGTAAATTTCAGAGTACCTACGCGAGCAACCCAGGCGCGAACCCCGCCAGCACCAATAAAATTGTTAAATGCAATTTTAAGTGTTGATCTACCACGTGCTAGGTGGTGAAGGAAAATATCGCGAGGAATTAAGAAAAAAAATTGAAGAAGTGAAGTTCGCCAACACGCATTCAGCTCGGCAGACATTTTCCTTGTCCAAAAACACTCTCAGAAATGAGAGAACTGTACCCAGCAGTGGGACGTATATAGGCTGTTTTTTTTTAACTTAACGACGAAACGAGGCATTCCGTCTTAGTTCTCACGGGTGACAACGCATCTGCATTATGATTTGTAATCAAGGATAGATGTAGATGTCTATGAGATACAGCAACCACTTACCATCAGGTGGACTGTGTGCTCGTTTGTTATCCTTATTCTATAAAATATAAAATAAATAACACTAGATGGTGTGACTACCTCGTAGGACATTCAATCAAGTTTTGTGACCTTTGGTTTTATCCAAGAAGCATGCAAGATGTATACGAGCTGTATTGACGTTGATGAAAAATGAACTTCAATACAGCTCGTATTGCTCGTAAGTTCTTTTTTATTAGTAAATAATTGGCAAAAATTATGCAGTGTTCTGCGTTAGTAGCGCTGTACAATAGCTGTACAAGCATAAAATTAGCTGTATAACAGCTGTATTATAGCTGTTATTCGATGTGCAAGGAAACTATTACACTACAGATATTATCTTATAAGTGATTTATAAAGTCAAACGTTCTATATACCGATAAACGTTTGATATTCATTTGCAAAAACAAAAAAAACGGAATCGCGCAATAACAATATATTGAGACACTGGAATACTGCTGTGTAGAATAAGTAAATATTTCGTATTTATTGTTTAAGGAATTTGTACGGTGTACACACACACACACACACATGCACGCACGCACGCACGCACGCACGCACGCACGCACGCACGCACGCACGCACACACGCACGCACGCACGCACGCACGCACGCACGCACGCACGCACGCACGCACGCACGCACGCACGCACGCACGCACGCACGCACGCACGTACGCACGCACGCACGCACGCACGCACGCACGCACGCTCGCACTAACGCACGCACGCACGCACGCACGCACGCACGCACGCACGCAAGCACGCACGCACGCACGCACGCACGCACGCACGCCCGCC